TGTATATGTAGCTCAGTTTGTGAGGTGCTTGCCTAGCATACATGAAGTCCTATGTTCAATGCTCAGCACAACATATACTGGCCATGGTGGTTTGAGCCTGTACTTTCAACCTGGAATGCATTAAATATTATTAAACAGCAAACATAGAAACAAAAAATTGTTTATTTGTGAATTTATTTATTTTCCTCCTTTTGGATCAAGGATAAATCTCTCGATTCATCCTCTCACAGCTTTAACACAAAAATAGCTGGAATGAGTTCCAGGTTCCATGGCATTAAAATGACAGCTGCTTTGCTGGGTTCTGAGAGGAAAGAACAGTATGAGGAGTCATTTGATTGGCATTTCAGTTACAGCCTTACAGGCTTTAAAGAGGAAAGGAGAGTATGATGCTTCATTTCTTTTCAGAGGCAAATTTTTAGATCCATGCCACTTTTGAAGTGTTGACTGGATAACCCCCTATGTTTAGGAAATAGTCTGTAAAAATAGAACAATAGAATTCCCTCAGAAATCCTTAACCTTAGTGGATAGGGACTTACTTGCTCCAATAATTAAGAGGGTTTCTATTAGAAATTTTAAGGCATTTGAATCTGCCACAAATAACCCCTCTACCCTAAAGTGTACATGTACTTTTTATATAATATTTTTCCAAAAACTTGCTAATGAATTAATAGATAATTTAAAAGTAAAACCCAGCAATAAGTTCACCAACACCAGATAGCTGTTTCTGCGATGCTGTGTCACACCTTTTACTCCATGTTGTAGATGTGGTTCTGAAAAGTTCAAATTGAGACTGCAAATGAATAATTTGAAAAGCATATTTGAAAATTAAAACACCAGGATGTATTCTCTCTCACCCTCATTGTTCAGTTGGAAAGAGGACTTTTCCAGAGCAGAGGAGCCAGAGGAGAAAGGGCCAGAGCAGCAGCCCCCATCTTCAGATAGTTTCGTGCTTTCAAGTGTAACCTAATTGTATAATAGGAAAACACTCTTCAATCTCCAAAATAAATTTCAACTACAGGGAGGTCTTTATGGAAGCATTTTAAAATGACTTCCCCGGAGTGCTACAATTTCGGAAGAATGGTAATTTGCTAGTATGTAGTTATCAACTGATTTTCTTTAATTGGACACAATTTTCATCTACTGTTAGTTTCCAATTTGGGAACAATAAAACTTGTATTAAATGCCTCAGAAATTTAAAAAAAAAAACTTCTCAGCTGTAATCTTTTTAAAGAAATGAAGAAAGCAGAAGCTTACAATACCACTCTAAAGAATGATTTTATTAACAACAACAACAACAAAAAATTTGGCTGTGTCTGTGAGGTCCTCAAGGGCAGGAACTGTGTTTTGTTGACCAGTCCATGTTTGTACATTGCAAAATGCCCAGCAGTCAACAGTATGTGTTTAATAAAGCAGCCATAGCTGTTGGTAGGGAAGCATGAATGCACAGCAGATATTAATAACCAAGTTGAAATGATATGAATAATGATATGAGTATCAATAAACTAAGTTAGGTTACAGGAAAAGACAGACAACTTTTTGCACTAACAATAAAGTTTGATTGAATCCATGTTAGAGTCCAGTCATATTTGTTACCACTCCACATTCTCATCCCTATAAAGCACACCATAATCCCCAATAATCACCCCTTTACCTAGCTTAAGACATCGTATTAGATTCTAACTTGATAGTTAGACCTCTGGATAGCTAAACATTGATGTAAAACAATGCTACTTACAATCAGAAAAAGTCCTTTAGCCTGTGATTGTAGCTGAATCTTCTAAGGAATTTAATTTGTTTAATTCTGATACTCACCAATGGAACAATATAGAACCTTTGACACCATGGATAAATAAAAAGCTGAGAGAGTTGCATATTAACATGTGGGTTTGATGCGTCAGAAATATAGAAGAAGTTGGATAAGTAAAGTTAAATATTAGACATGTAAGCTTCAGGATGAAGTAGTCTATTCCTACTCCATTCTGGGTCCTCCCTCTACCTATATAACATTTAATATTAATCTTACCTTTAAGTGACATAAAATTCGCCAATATAATCAATAAAAATACTCTCTAAAGTGTACATAAAAAGAATATGAATTTTATGCTACTTAGCAACAGGGTGCATTCATTAATCATATTTGTATGTTAGGAATGAAGGATATAGAAATGGACTCCTGCCCAACCCATGCTGCCTACTTGCTCTGCCCACAGAAACATGGTATAGTAGTAGAAATGAAAATACAATAATGAAAATGATATCAAATGCTGAAAGACAGAGAATTCACCTTTCCCTTGAATGAGCTTGCTGATTGGTTAGCCAATACAGAGCAGGCAGCCCTAGCATCATATGCACACAAACAATAGTAATGAACTCAGCAGATTATATTTATATTGATGTGTCTATTTATATACATGCAATGGTAATGATCAAAGAAAACTAGGTCATCAATTTTAAGAGAAAGGGTAGAGGTGTAGAGGGTTAGCGGGGGGAAGGAAAGAAAGACAGAAAATGATATAATTATATTTTGATTGAAAATATATTAAATTAAAAAGGAAGAGTGGAATCAAAGTCACTATTTCCAAGTAGCAGTCACTGTAACACTTGATGCACTATTTTTTACTTTCAGCTGTACTATTTCCGTGAAATTATTAGCATCCAGTTCTAGATAATACCCTCCTGGGCAGAATACGAAGGGAAGAAACCTCATTTTGCACACAAGGCATAATTATTCTTCCAGCTCCAACCATATCAATCAAAGCGAATTTTTAATACTGTTTTTTAAAGCAGAATTTTCATGTAGTCAGGGCCTTAAGTTTCATAGGAATATGGAATCCTAGAAAAAGGAGAGGGAAATATTAGAAGGCCTTGAATTTAACGATCAATGGCTAGGAAAATGAGGCTTGGAGAGAACGAAATGAACTTGATCCTAGTGGAGATAAGTAATGCCTGTGTGAGCAGGGGAAGGGAAGGCAGGGCACTGTTGGTGGAGGAGGGAAGGGAAGACGGGGCAGTGTTGGTGGAGGGAAGGGCATCTTGGCTCTAAGGCTTGTGTTCCTGGGATAACTGGGAGGAAGAAAGGGCAATACTGAGCAAAAACCAGTTCAAAGGAATGAGCAGCTGCTGTCAAGCAATGCCCATCACTGCTCTGGAGTGCATCCCTGGATTTATTTGGAGCAGGGGATGGGGAGTGTGTCATCTGAAGACTGACTTACATGGAAGCAACTGTCCAGCTTGTGTTCTCCTTACAGGGTGGCCCAGGGTTAGGAGGGGACTCCTACTCCCTGATGGCATCTCTACAGACTTCATTTTTTACTATGGAAAGCCCCAGAGAACTGGAATGCGTCAGAGAATTGTTGGGTGGGACTGGTGTTAGAAGTCCAGTGTCCAGAATCTAAGGTTTGTGTTCCTTTGGCTGCACCAATAAATCAAAGTAAGAATTGACTAAAGGTATGTAGGAACACAGTAGGTGAAATATCAGCAGAAGTTAAATTATATCATGCCTAAAGATTAGCCTCAAGATTTTGTGGTATTGACTTTTATTCTCTAATGTGGGCAAAGTGACTAGTAAAGGAGCTTCCTGGTCTTTCTGTCATCCCATGTTCTTGCGACTTGTATTTATTTTGTCTGTTCAATAACAAAATATCACCATGTCCTAGTTTATGCTCAAGGCTTACCTGAAGTTTATAGAAAAAAACCAGAACAGAACCAGAATGATACTTTTGATTTATCTTCTTTTGAGACAAACCCAATTCATCTAAGTTGATTCAACAAATACCAAAATCATTTAGAATATTTGAACAAGAAATAAAAATAAATAATATCCCAGAAGTTCCTATATCTAGTCACACAAAGATGGCTTTTCCTCTGCTGCTCATAATTCATTTTATAACAATCCTTTGAAACATAGTGAAATAAAAAGGAGGGAGCAAATGCTGAACTTCAATCCTTTAACTGCTTGTACAAAGCTATAGGGCAATTAAGTTGCAGGGGAGACTGGAAATCTCTGCAGACACTCTTCTTGGAGAGAGTTCCTCAAGAGTTTGTAGAATTGTACCAAAGTAAAGAGAGAGTACAGAATGCACTGTTGATTTGGGGGTAGAGCATCATAGATGATTCTGTTAATTCAGTAACTATATGGACATTTAAATTGTCATAATCTGTCTCTAGAAGGATGTACCAGAAACATAGTCATCATATCTCTAAAAAAAAATAACAGTTTATCCCTACACCTATATAAACTACTCATATGAGTCAGAGGAAGAGTATTTTTCTAACTGTTAGAGCTCAATTTATTGAATATGTACTTATGTTTTACTTTAGAGATCAAAATCTGAGGCATAATTTTTAATGTGCTCTCAATGAGAGCACAAAAATATAGATTAGACTGTTAATACAATTCAGTCAGTATAAGAACATTTCAAATACTGAATAATAATATTTGTATAAGTCTACTGTAACTTTGTTGCTATTATTATATTTAATTTTTCTAGTAAGAAAAACAGGATGCTTCAGGATTTACAGGTATAGAATTTGATTTCTTTAGGATTGTTCTTAAGCTCTATTTTTGCTAGAAATACAGATGAAAGGAAAACCTCCTCATCTATCCAAATTATTAAAACATGACCACTTGTACATTAAAACATTTCTTGATACTGAACATATTGATGAAAGAGAAATAAAACCATGAGCATTTCTCCTGAGTTTTTTTCCATTGGTTTTGAAATGAAAACAAAACAGAAACAAAAGCAAAACAAAAAAAGACTAAATGCAGATCAATGCAAGGGTCTAACAATTATCTCCAACTAATTTGTTTTACAAAATATGCTAGGTTTTCTACTACTCATCTTTGAGAGGAAAATTTATCAGAAACCACTTCTAATTTTAGCAGAATCAAGGCATGCAAGAAATAGCTTGAAAGGGATGTGAAAATAAATGCAATAGTTAAAAGAGAAACCTAAACTCGAGATTTTTTTTTTTATCAGTTTTCACATTTAGCTTACCTTGTGAGAAGTCTGCGGAACTCCTAACTTTAGAGTCCTGTCTGCAGTTTATCCCAAACTTAGCTCTGATGGTGAGTTTCTTTCCGTGTTTTTATAGTCTCAGTTCTACTTCACTTGCTCCAACCCCTGCCGCTGCGTTTTCTTACATCAGTTCTACAGATTTTCCATGGAACATTTCCCTAGCACACACATTCTCTCTCTCTCTCTCTCTCTCTCTCTCTCTCTCTCTCTCTCTCTCTCCCTCCCTCCCTTCCTTTCCCTTCCTCCCTCCCCCTCTCCTCTTTTACCCACCCTCCTCCTTGATCCCTCCCTTCTTTCCAACCCCCCCACTCCCCCCTCTCCCCCTCTCCCTCTCCTCATTTCCTTTCCACATTTGTTCTATCTATTGCTTTGATTGTGACATTTGAGTAGCTTAACTATGGAAAACTTAAGTACACACTTAGCTTCTTGTTCAGCTTCAGACGCATCATCTCTACCAGAGGTTTTAGTCCAGCTTTGAATATTAAAATTTGTATTTGGGAAATTAAATACACAAAGATTTGTAAAAGTCACCAGGGCATTTCACAGCAACATTTTAAAAGTTTTAAATCAGATATAAACTGATTTTTTGGTGTAGTTTGGGACCCTTATATAATTGACCTATTAAACAAATGATGGGTAATTTGAGCTTCAGGTGCACTGTGATGTGTCAGTGAAGCAACATGCACTTCTTAATTGACATGGCTACACTAGAAAACCTGTCACTAACAACCCTATGAATACCACACCGTGACATGTGGCTATAAATGCAGCGGTATAGACACCCTTATCTTGCTCTTGTTCTCTTTTATTTTAATTTCATTTCAACCAAAACTTTCCTTGTTCTTTCTGAAGGTTTGCTTCAGCTACATCTTCTGGAAATCACATTTTTCTGCACATGGACATTGTTAAAAAGAAATGATTGGGTTTGTAGGTGCATGCTATGTTATTAGATCATCATGGACTTGTGTGATTCACTGTGGGCCTCCATTTATCAGATACAGCAACTAAGGGTCAGAAGAGTCACTGACTTAATGAGGACACACAGCGAAGGACCCTGTCTGAGCCAGATAACAAATGCAGATTTTATTTTCACATCCTGTCCTTTGCCCATGCTTGCATTCTGTCTATTTCAAAAGCCACCAAAGAGAATCTAAACCAGATTATATTTTTCTCCAATAGAAATAAATTTGTTCTTTTTGGTTTTGCTTACACGCCATTTAAAATACTATTCACTAGCATGGGAACTATTGCATGGTTAATTTGGAGTTACACAGGCGAACTGACCAGAGCACACTGAATTGGTGGGACAGTAAAATGCTTCGTTTTTATGAAGGGCTTCCAGGGACAACATATGTCTCAACAAGCCTGAAATCTGAGTAGTCGGCAGCAGTGGTTCACAAGTCAATATAAAAATACAGCCTAGTTGTGGAAACTTGTTTAGACATTACCGATATAAAACAATTTGTTAAGCTTGAATTCACATGATGGAAAATTCTCAATATAGTTTTAATGGATGCATCATGATGCTGCCACAGCCAGGATCTATGATATCCCGCCCGCCTCAGCTTTCTGACAAGTGATATCTACAGCTGATTTATTCCAGATCTGTCCTTGTTACACAGTCCAAAGATTCTAGCCTATTTGTGGATTGTGTTGACCTAATTCAAAAACTTGACTTAACTGTTCTGCAGCAGAAAAAAATAGCAACAGTTTATTCCAGGAACACAGCCAGGGTACATTTAAGTCATTTGTACAGGCTTCTGTACATTGCACATTTCTGTGGGACTTGCTTTTGTGCTTTACATTATCTTGCTAAAGAGAGGAGAGAGGGAACATGTAAAGACGTATGAAGATGAAGAAAATAGGCATTCAGTGATAGATGGGGAGGATTAAGACAAGAAAGAGAAAACATTATTGAAAGATTTTCAGTGAGCTGATCCTTATTTCATTCGGATAATAGCCCTGTCAAGGAGGTATTATTCACAAGTAACAGCAAACAAACACAGCACATCTTTTAAAAGCATAGCCCAAGTCCTCATAGCTTGACTATGATGGGATCAGAAATTGTCTGTTGTTATTTTTATTAGTTGGGATTCTGGCAGTAAAGAGGAGGCACATTCAAACTGAGAAAACGAAGACTATGAATAATAATGCGATTTGAGAATTGTGCACATATAAGAAGAGATAGTCAATAAGCAATCCACTAAAAGACAAACACCTCTAGTCCTAAAGGACTTTGTTACTGATTATAGGGACCCCCAAACTGAAGAATCTAGGTAGAGACAGTCAGCTATGATCTTTCATTAAAAAAGAAAAACCAAAGGCATATTAAATGCAGTATTATTTACAATAGGCAATTATGGAATCATTGGATGATGGATAAGCACAAAGTGGTATGGACACATCATGGAGCATTATTTATTATATTGTTATATTTGTTATATTGTTGCAGGAGAGTGAGTGGAATGGATAATCATGACAGTAAGTTAAAAAAAAAAAAGCCAGACTCGGACATGTCTTATCTATTTCCTTTCTACATATAGAGTGTAGAAAAATTACATGATAGTAGAAGTGGATCTCTTAAGGAAGGGGAAAGGGATCAGTGAGAGAGGAGGAGAGATACAAAATGAAAATAGTATAATCAAGATATATTATATTCACCCATGCAAATGTCACAACAAAAGCAATTACTTTGTATGATTAATACACCTTAATTAAAAGAAAAAAATCTTTTAGAGCATAAATGCAGATCAAGGGTAGATCATTTGTCTAGTGTTTATGAAGTCCTGGATTTGATCTCCAGGAATCCAAAAACAAAATAAAAACAAACTCTCCAAATACAATTTTCAAAGAAACAAAGCCAGTGAGAAAGCCAGGGAAGAGCTGCCTCTAGGGAAGGGAATTTACAACACAGCCATACGATCCCATCCTTCCTTCTGGTTCCTTTTGCTGTCCATTTTCCCTTCTTGAACTAGAAAGAAGAAACACGGAGAAAAGAGGTAAGAGGCACAACTCTCTAACTTCAAACTGCGCCGAGACACAGGAAGGATCCCGGCAAAGACCAGCATGGTTGCAATTGCAGTCTTTATCCATTTTATCACCTGACTCATCCTGCTTTGTCAGGGAGGTCCATTGAATTATAGTTTACATACACAGACCTCACTCTTTTAAGGCACAGAGTTTAATGACTTTTGACAAATGCAAATATTTAGCTTTTAATAAAAGCTACAGAACATTTCTACTTCCCATCAAAATTCCCTGGTGCCCCTTTCCAGTCAACCTCTACCTCCACTCCTGGACCCCACTGAGCTGAGGGGTGCCATGAAAAAATACCTTTCCTGGAGGCTATAGGAATAACCAAAACAAGATGTGATTCTATTTTCTGGCTCCTTTCACTTAGAACAATACTTTTAGAGATTTATTCATGTTGCTAAGTATTTCTCATGTTTTCCTTTACAGTTGAGATTGTTTTCTTTTTAATTTACCTAGTCAATTCTACCTTGGTTTCCAGAGATGAGCTCTACTTGATCATGCTATGTTGCCATCTTTCTGTTGCTCTTTGTGCATGCTCATGTTTTTTAAAACTTTCTTTTTATTTATTCTCTGTGTCTTTCACATCATGCATCTCGATCCCATTCATTTCCCTGTTTCTTCATATCCACCTTCTACCCTTGCAACATCGCCCAAATAAAATAAGATTTAGGGAGAAAAATAAAAGAAAAACAACAACAAAGAAAAATCTCATAATGGAAGCTGTAGTACGACAGTGAGTCACTCAGTAAATCCTTTTGTCCATATATCTTTACTCGTAAGTGTTCATTGCAAACAGTCATTGGTCTGGTCCAATGCCTCTAGTTTCTGCTACACTATTAATGCTGGGCCCTCATTGGGACTCTTCTTGGATAGATATCCTATTGTCTTATGTTGTGGAGATCCTAAAGGATCAGCCCCTTCACATGCTCTTGCAGATCATAGATGGGGTGAATGTTGGGATGAGCCAACTCATAACCCTGTTTCTGGGCCTGTGTAGTTGTAGGGTTGGTCAGCCTGCCAGCTCTCCACCTCCACCCCATCCTCAACATCAGGGCATTGTCTGGGCTAGTTCATCCCTTGTAGGATGAGCAAGGGGCGGGGTTCGTTCCCAGGGTAACTTGACCCACACTGGACCTCCAGGGCCAGCTCTACTCTGTCACCCAGGTGAGGTGCAGGGGCCACTCTCCCTAGTGCTGCAGCTGATGAGAGGCAGGGCCAGTTCTCCCACCTGCCACATTTGGTGAGGGGAGAGATGCTTGGTTTTTAAAACACGTAAGTTACTGTTTATTTACAAGGGACACAGGAAGGCTTATTACTTTTTAATTGTAGATTTCAAAATTTGATGTCATCGTTACACGTGTCTTAATAATGATTGGGGAAAGTTACAATCCCACCTACTTTTTTAAATGCTTGAGGATATTTGTATTATTTCTTTAAAAAAAAAAACCTGGATAATCCAGCAGTGAGTAATTACAAAGTCCAAACAGTAAATCGATCTAAGCCATTTGTTTCTTTGAGGGAAAACGTTACTAAACTTTCAAATTCTTTAGTTTAGGACAACCAATTGTAAATCTTTCCTAGGGCACTGTCACAGTTTTGTCATTGATATTCATCCATTTCCCTAATCATCCAGTTATGTTATTCATACAATTACTTCTTTTCTTTTGTTGTCTGTGGGACTATTTCAGTGTCACTATTTTCTTTCTGAATCTAGGAGTGTTTTTGTGCATTTTTTTGTCTTGATCATGCAATCTGGAATTGCATCTTTTTAAAATTAATTTGGATAGTTAACCTTGGGTGTCACTAGTTTTTCTGCTACTTCATCATTTAATTAGATGATATCTGCTTTATGTCATTACTTCCTTTTTCCTTTTTGTAGCTATTTAATTTTTATTTTAAAAAAGTTTTATTGATTTTACATACCAACCATAGATAACCCTCTCATCCTTTCTCCTTCTCCCCCCTCCATCTTCCCCCTCAACCCACTCCCCATCTCCTCCTCCAAAAGGCTAGGTCCTTCCATAGGAAGAAATCAAAGCCTGGTACATTCAGTTGAGGCAGGATCAAGTCCCTCCCCCTGCATGAAGGGTGAGCAGGGTGTCTGACCATAGATAATGGGCTCCAGAAAGCCAGCTCATGCACCAGGGATGGATCCTGATCCCACTGCCACGGGCCCCTCAAACAG